GCGGCGTCGACGTCGACGTCGTCGGCGGAGAGGAGAAGAAATGGTGGAGGTTTTTTTATTTAACAAACAAAGGGTTTTTTTTCTTTTTTTTTTATTTGGTTTTTGAATAGGTAATTTCTAATAAAATTTGATATAATTGATATTTTGTATGAAAGGGTGTTTTTGTAATTTTCTTTTTATTTTGGTTTTAAAGTAAGAAAAAACTTATAAATATGTACTCAATTGTGGTTTTCAACTAGGTAGTATTCAACTAAGCAAAAATTAGTATTCAAAATAGTTGCCCCCATTTGAAAGGGGTAAGACTGTCATTGACTGAAAACCTATTTTACAATTCTATTTTCTTCTTCTACCCAAGTGACCATAGGTTTGACAAATACAAAAAAATTGCAGGGATTATGGGTATACCATATACATAATATATTATATATATATTGAGGAATGTATTCGTACCAGTTTTTCCCATCAATTTCATTTACTGTAAAATTAATAGCAAAATGGATGAATTCAAATAGAATTGAGATTGTATACAAGCTGTCTATGGAGTTAAGAAATGCCAATTTTAATAAAAAAATCACTAAAGTATTGGAGAGCTCTAGGGCACTTCTATTATTTGTGGATTGATAGTTGTTGGTTCTCGTTTAATGAGAAATTAGTTTCTGCATTGCACAGAGTAAACCTTATTTTTGCTGTATCATGCTATCCAAAGGATAGAGCTAGAAAAGAAAAAACTTAAACAGAGACTTCTAGAGCAAGAAAATTATCTATCAAACTAAAAATTGTGAAGTATCCATTCTCATCAGAATAAGAGTTTGGCATCCATGAAAACAAAATACTAGTTTTCATAAAAAAGAACAAGACATGCAACACCCTAAAATCAATGTATCGAAACAATTTTCACAAATTATATCAGCTATTGGTCTTCATTGCAGTAGAATTTCCCGTACTTGACTGAGCCGCAAAACTACCATCCTCCTATTCGTGTATCCTAATAGAAGATGCAACATTAATGGTAGACCCCTACAAAAGATCCACAAAAAAAAAGTGTATTAATTGTTGATTGTGTCAATATAGCACCACCATAATTATTGTAGTATTAATAAACATTTACACCAACATTAATGTTTGAATCAAGAGGCTGATTAGATGTAGCAACTTTCTTCTTAACCTGCAGGTTATAAATTTCATCATATTGAGAGATACAAGAGGCATGTAAATTTTGACATAACTTAATTATAAAAAATAAATAAACACAAAAAATATAGTAACTTACAGGGAGTTTAGTTCTTGATCTTTGATTGCAGTGATTAATTGGTAAACTAGATCGTGGTGGCTCCTTGCATGCTCTTTTATTGTGTCCTACTCTTCCGCATTTCGAGCACATGTACTTAGATCCTCCTTTTCTCATTTTTTTCCCAATCTCTTGCTGGATTATTAACTCATCCAGTTCTTTCTTCCTTGCATATTTGCATGGCCTTCCAAGCTTTTTGGTCTCTAAAATCCATGGTACCAATGGTTTTAAATTTGAATGTGGCCACTCCTCCCTACCTCTTACAGGTTCCATCACATGCTCATATGCCTTAAAAAATGTATCTTTGGTATACCATTTATCTACATAATCTTCCACCTTAGCTCTATTGTGGAATATACAAGCAATGCCATGAACACAGGGAATACCTGTAAGATCCCACCTTCTACAACTACAGGTTTTATTTTTTACATCAACAATAAATTGATCACCAAGCCAACTTTTAACTTCAAACTTATGGCTTCCGTTCCAACTTAAGATATATTCATGGGCTTTTTTCTTATTTTTTTCTAATATTTTTTGCACATTAGGACATATTTCACCTTTAGACTTCAAAACTTTATCCCTTTGCACATGAATTCTCTTCATCAACAGTAATCTGATTATCTCACACATTGTAATTATTGGCTTATCCCTAGCTTTCATAATCACCCTGTTGAAACTTTCGCACAAGTTGTTCAATAGCATGTCACACTTAGGCCAAGTACTAAAGTGGGATCTAGACCAATTCATAGGAGATTTCCCTTTCAACCAATCAAATGCGGCAGAATCAACTTTTTTAAATTCCTCCATCACTCTGTTAAAGTCCGCCACTCTAGTCGATGTAGCAGCCCTCCACAACAAGTCTTTCAAAGCTAATCCTTTGTGCTTCATCTTAAAGTTGTTGTACATGTGTCTCAAACAGAATCTATGTTCAGAATTGGGTAATAAATTCTCAATCGCCTTAATCAGACCCTTCTGCTTGTCAGAAATTATCGTATACCCAAAACTATTTTTAATTCCCAAGTCATCAATAAGTAAACTTACAAACCATTCCCATGTTTTGGTATTTTCCTTGATAACCATAGCATATGCAAAGGGGTACATGCAATTATTGCCATCAACACCAATTGCAGTTAACAAAACACCTCCTTTGGCAGTTTTCAAGTGAGTCCCATCCAAGCCAATGATCGGTCTGCATCCCGCTAAAAAACCCTTCTTGAGAGCACCCCAACAAATGTATAATGCTTTAAAAGTTGCGGTTTCAGAATCCATCGCACTTTTACATTTAACCTTGATGGTGGTGTCGGGATTTTTTGTCTTCATTTCTTCAATGTAATCCCACAGTTTGGCATATTGTTGGGCCTCTGTTCCCTCATTCAATTTCAATGCCTGTTTTTTTGTTCTGTGCATCTTCGAAATTGTCAGATTAGTTTTGCATTCCATCTGCATTATTTCTAGCATTGAGTTGACAGGCCACTCGGGATTACTTCTCAAATGACTTACGTACTTGTTAGCGAGATACTTGGAGCTACAATGCTTAGCGAATAAAGCCCTGACGCAAGTATGTTCACCATTAATTGTCTTCACTTGAAATGTTTTATCTACTTTAGAAACATGAGAAGCAAAAATTTTCCAACCGCATTCACAAGTTACTTGAACTTTGTTACTGCAGTTCTTCCTAAAAACCAAAGGCCTTGCTTGTTTAGTAGAATAAGTTCTAATCGCCTCTCTAAACTCAGCTGCAGATTTAAAGCATAAACCCACACTAAACTCAAAATCAGAATGTTCTGCATCGCCATGATACACTGGAAATTGTGTTCTGCTGCCACATGATCTCGGGGGTACTGATAGTGTGTTTATGTTTAGTCTAGTATGCTCAACTGTATCTCCTCCCCCAATATTGCCTCTTCCACTAACAATATCAGATTCTCTAATGCCACTCCATTCAACCTCTTTATCATTTCAGAAACAATTAGTAGAAAAAAATGAGTTGGATGAAATTTGTTTACCTTAATATGAAGGAATGATCTTCCGCAGTGTGGTGGCTTGGCCGCTTGGGTACAAAAATACTAACAGAAGAAAATAGAATTGTAAAATAGGGTTGAAGTCAATGACACTCTTACCCATTTCAAATTCACGTGTCTGGCACGTGAGTGAAATTAAATCTGAAATGGCTGATATACCCTTCCTTGCTAATCTGGATTTTGTCGTAAAAAATGTGAAATGTTAATTTTTTACCTATAGGGTGCAATTTGTTAAATTAATCTTAATTTGAGGGTGCACCTTGTCTTTTTTTATTTGTGAGGGTGCATATTGTTGCTATTGTTATATTTTGGGGTGCAAAATGATTTTTAGCCCTTTAATTAATCAAATTTCATGTTGAAAATTTGAAAGCATTTACACACCCTTGTGAGTTGAGTGAATATCTAGGAGGTACACGTGTACACAACACTCATATATATGACGTATGTATGACATGATATATATATAACCCAAGAACCCCCAATGTTGCTTACAATTACATCCCTAAATTGTTTGAAAACTTTTCTTCACGCACAACACACACACTAAAACGTAAAACCCAAAACCAAATTTCTGTAATACACAGCACTCACTTTCACATTCTATATCCGTTTCTCTTCTCTGTATAAATCTCCGCGTCAATCCTTCCCCAAAACCTCACCAAGAAAACCCTAATTACAGCTGAACATAATTCTTGATTTGTGGAAACAACCCATTTTTCTCAATTCGTTGGTTAATTTTATTCCAACGCAATTCAGTTAGGTTTTTTTTTTCTGGGTTTTTATTTTTTGAAGTCTCTCGTCGCTGCATTGGTTAAATTTGCGATTTTGAGCATACCCTCTTGGTTATTTGTGTTAAAGATTTGAATTATTGTTTGTTTTCGTAGATAAATTAGGGTTTTTTTTTTTTGGGTTTTTGATTTTGAATTCAATTGATTTATGGTGTTTGGGGTTCCCTGTATCTGTACAAACACGTAGACCTATATATACATACACATATACATACATATATATAGAGTTGTTCTGTGGAGTGGAGAGTGGAGAAGTAGTGGAATGAATAGTGTGTGCACTGAACAGATACTCGCCGAAAAGCTTTCCAAGCTCAATAGCACTCAGCAATGCATCGAAAGTATCCATCTCGACTTACTCTTATTTCACGATTGTTTGCGTTTTTTCTTGATTTGCATTCTTTAACTTATTATTAGTTCGATCAATGTCGAAAAGAACTGCTCGATTTTTGTTGTTGTTTCAATTTGTGTTGATTCGTGTACGTTTGTCTACGTAGCTTTGTCACATTGGTGCATTTTCCACCGAAGTAAAGCCGAACTAGTCGTTTCCACATGGGAAAAGCAATTCCAAAGCTCGGAAATGGCGAAAAAGGTACCTCTTTTGCACCTTGCAAACGATATCTTGCAAAACAGCAGACGGAAAGGGGACGAATTCGTAACCGAGTTCTGGAAAGTTCTTCCTTCGGCACTAAAGGAGGTAGTTAATAAAGGCGACGAACGTGAGAAGAAAGCTGCATTAAGATTGGTGAGATTCTTAATTTTCTCCGAATTGGGAAAAAAAAAGATTAAATTTCGTACGGGTTTTTCGTTTCCAAGACTCTTGAAAATTCGAATGAAGTTGGTTTCTTGAATTAGTTGAAAATATATCCTTTTTAATAGGTTGGGATATGGGAAGAAAGGAGAGTTTTTGGTTCGCATGCTCAAAGCCTTAAAGAAACTATACTTGGAGAAGAATTGCCTCCGCCTTTAGAGCTAAAAAAGAAGCGCTCACGTTCGGTAAAGATAGTTAGAAAAGATTCCCGATCTATAAGAACGGTGAGATTTACCGTTTTCTTGAATTCTTTTTTTTTTGGGGTTTTTTTTTTTACATAGCTTGTCGGGATTTAATTTGGATCTTGAATATTCTGTTACCGTAATCAGAAATTGAGCATTGGTGGAACGGCAGAAAAAATAGTATCGGCTTTTCACTCGGTGCTTAGTGAAAATGCCAATGAAGATGAACAAATGAGTAAATGCAAGTCTTCGGTTCATCGTGTCAAAAAGATGGAAAAAGATGTCGATGTGGCCTTAACTAAAGGTAAGCTGATTATTTAGTAACTTTTATATTCGTAAAAGGGATTTAAGACAGTCCGTTTTTTTAGTTGTTCGTTATATTTTTGTCCGTTGTATTTAATGTCTAAAAGCGACTTTTTTTATTTATGCAGCAAAGGATCCGTCACGTAAGACTCTATCGAAAGATTTGGAGGAGGAAGAGAATCTTTTGAAAGAATGCATCGAAAAACTAAAAGCTGTTGAAACGGATAGAGTTGCTCTCGTTTCTCAGCTACGAGATGCTCTTCTTGAGCAGGTACTCGAGCGGGCCCCACTAATGATTTTGTTTTTATTTGTTAATTTCTATAATTGAACTTTTAATTGACACGCGATTCTCCTGTGGTATTTTTGTTCTTTTTGATTTCAGGAATCTGAGCTGGAGAATCTTCGGACACAGATTCAGGTTTGTGCTATGCGATTTTTTTTCCTTAAAGAAAGAAAAAGAAAAAACGGACCTCGTAGCTTCAATAAAATCGTTTCCTTTTTTTTATGTGGATTGGAGTATGTTTACGATACTTCAAAAGAGTGTAGAGATAAAATATTGTCATCCTCGGTTTCAAATTAAATGTTGTTTAAGGTTCCGTCACGTGTATTGAGTAAGCTAATAGTACGTATGATTTTTACGGAAACAAAAACACATAATAAAGACTGAAATACCCTAATACATAAATGTGGCAAAGTTTTTGTTTCTCTTGATTCCACTAATACAAATTCTCAAAAAAAAAAAATCCAGGTAGCTCAAGCTCAGGTAGAAGAAGCCGAACTAATGCGTAAACACTTAAACGAAGACCGTACATTTGAGCCAAAAAAGTCAAACCCACCAACAGAAAAAGTCAATGGAAAATCGGCCCAACAAATCGCAGCAGAAGTAGCCGACAGATTAGCAGCCTCCACCTCATCTCAGTACATCATGACATCTGTCCTCTCGACTTTCGCGGCCGAAGAAGCCAAAAACGCCAGCCTAACAACTTCTTCATCGGGCAATAATCCCCCGCAGCAGCAGCACAATCCTTATAATATGGTGCAACCTCCGCCTCAAATCTCGAATTCTCAAGCCCATTACATTCACTCGATCCCGAATCCACCTTATAATATGGGGTCGTACGATTACAACGGTGGTCTTGCGCTGCAAACCGGTCCACCTGCACCAGCGCCTCCATACATGGTAAGCCCTATGGTGCCTTTGATGCAGCAGCAGGCACCTCAGATGCCACATCAGCAGCAGCAGCCGCCACCTCAGATGCCACATCAGCAGCCGCTGCCACCTCAGATGACACATCAGCAGCAAATGGTGACAATGGGCCATCAGCAACAACCGCAGGGGCCAGCTAGTTTTCGAGCTGTGGGTCCCATGCAGGCGGCACCTGGGATGGTCTATTACACCCATCCGTACGGTTCGCAGTGACGGTGTTTTGACGAAACTACCCCTCGGAATTTTTGTTTGGTTAGATGACATAGTAGATATAGATGAATCGTGTATTGTGGGTGCGAATAGGGTTTTTCGATTTTTTCTTTTTTTTTTTTGTTTTCAGGACAGGATACTGTTTGATGTTTCCATAGATGTGTTTGTATTCTTGTTGTAAGATTATGTGACTCTGAGGGAGCTGACATTTTTCTAAATGCTATTTTCAGACCAGAACTATCACTTTTCGAGAATTTCGAATTTTTACGTAAGTCGGACACTAATTTCAATTTTATAAAAAGAAAACCCGGAAATTGGAATGAAAAAATTGTTCCAAAATCGAAAATTTTCGGAGGAATTCAGAAATTCTGAATTTGTGTTCACCTACAATAATCGGAAATCGAAATCTAATATGTATTCCAATTCAATTAACACAAAAAAAAAAAAAAAAAATCAAAAATTGGAACTTACGGAATTCGGGATTGAAAATAATATTCCAAAATCGAAAAAAAATCGGATTAGAATTGGCAGAATTCAGAAATAATATTCCAATTCCCACCCCTAGTTGTGTTAAAAGAGATGGTAAAATATTATTACAACATAAAGAGTAATAAATCTTATACATCAGAAATATGTATATACACACACACACAAACATAAATCAAATTTGGAATTTCTTTCTGAGAATAAAATCTCTAACAAAGAGAGGAATGTGATACAAAATTGCCATTACAGTAGACATATGGCCTAAGGTGAGCCAAGCACAAGGATTTTCCTTGAGCACTTCATCGACCGTCTTCTTCGCAAACTCTTCTGAAGGAGTCGATTTTGGGCTCTGTGATAAAGTTGCTCTTGCTCGAATCGATTCTTGAAACCGCTTGTACAGTTTCCACTCTGGCATTTGATTGTATGATGCTAAAGCCGAGTTTCCGATATTGGATTTAATGCCTCCGGGGACAACATTAATCACATCAATCCCAAAGGGTCTTAGTTCCAATCTGCATTGTACGATTGTACACAACAAGAATAATATTTCAAGAAAAATATTTAAATAAAAAAATAAAGTGGCCTTACAACACGGAACCCAAAAGGAGTAAAGGTTATAGATGCTCGTTTCTCCATCGAACTCATTTTTCGTTAATTAAAGACGTATACTTCGAAATGTATCATTGAGAGGATCTCGGAAATTCTGAATTTTGCAAGTTAAAAGACGAAAATTGAAATTTTGAAACAAAAAGGAGTAATTGTCCAAGGAGGCTAGATATACGGGGTTGAGAAAGAACTTTGCGAATTTTAAGAATCCATCTTAGTTGACACATAAGCATCTTTGCATCCACGTCGTCCTTTGACAGTCACTTTAACGGGCTTTTAAGGAGTCGAGGACTAAAATTCTGAACTTTTTCGAATTAAAGGACCTAAGAAAAATTGAAACAAAAAAGGACTAAATGTGGGAAGTAGGCCAAGTTAACGAACCAAAAAGGTAAGCCGTATTTTCTGTTAGTTACTCCCTTCGTGCCGAAATACTAAGAGAATTATTAAAAATATGTATGGATTGTAGGAAGAAACATGTAAAGTGGCTGAAATACCCTTCTCATTAATAATTATCTCCACTAATCCTCTCTCAACAAATCAAGAATGTAAGGGTAAAATTGAGAAAAGTGCAATTAATACATCATCGTACACATAATAATTAGTTCGACACATACTTTTTCATTTAAGGTTAATTGTTACATCAGCTAAATTGATCCAAATCCAGTGTCATATTTCCTCGAATTAAATTGGAATTTTCATTTAGCACGACTTTATAGAAGGATGGAGAAAGCCGATTTTTATGATAAAATGCAAAACGGCTAGTAAATTATATATATGTATATACACACACATACCTTAAAGTATCACTGAGTGCATGTATAGCAGCTTTCGATGCAGTGTAAGCACCTGCCCACGGTACAGGGGCTAATGCGGTCACACTTCCGATGTTGACGATTTTGCCCTTCTTTCTAGATGCCATGTGAGGAACTACTCCTTGAATCAATCTCAATGCACCTACACAAGGAACATTAAAACATACATTATTAAATAACTTAAACAACAAAATATGCGAAATAAATATTGGATCAAAGATATTATTCCTTGCAACAATTGTATGAGCATTGCAAAATCGAGGATTATTATCTTGGCAAATAATATGTTAAGTGAATGCATAAAAGAGGACAAATTTAAATAATTAAAACAATAACGAAAGACAAAATGATGGACCTGATTTAGAGACGAGAAGAAAAAAAATTCTACTCACACAAAGATAACACCTAGTTTTAGATTTAAAAACACGAGATGTTGAAAGTCAAAAA